TACGCATATACCACACTGTATTAATCCAGTCATGTATTGGTGGGCACTTGGATTATTTCCACATCTTTGCAGTTGTGAATTGTGCTGTTATAAACATTTGAGTGCCATGATGTTTTGAAAGGCATTTGCGAATTATAAAATACTGTACACATGTGTAGCTGTTGTCACTCTTGTTGAACCTGTAGCTAAACCCCTGCCTTCCCTTTCTGATCTGTCTCCTGTCACTGACCTAATGCTAAGGAAACTGTACCCATCCATCTTATTTAAAAGGAGATTTGTTCCCAGGACGTTTATTTATTTATTAAGAGGTCACCATAAGTGAATGAGATTTTTGCATCAGAATGCACAGCTGAAGAGCAGCCTGCAACATCTGCCCACAAGGCTTCCTGAGAGGCAGGGATGATGAACTATGTTTTCTTCTGCAGACTGACGACAACAGTGGGGACTTGGACCCAGGAGTTTTGCTGACAGCTCAGACCATCACATCGGAGACCACAAGCAGCACCACCACAACTCAGATCACCAAGGTAACAGACTAGCTAGAACCTCCTTATGGAATCCAGTGGGAATTGAGCTTGCTGCTGCCTCTCTGCAATAGGGACCCTGGTCCATAAACAGTTTTCCCCAGCTGCGTCTTTCTTGAATCAAATTAATACAAGTCCCAGATGGAAAGCCCCTGCTGCTTTCCCCAACAGTAAACCTAGGGAGGCCCTGAGAGTATCCCTGCCTCCCTCATGGTCTCATAAATTCATGTGTGGGTCTTCTCTATACACATCTGTCTGTGTCTCTGGCCAGTGAGTCCCCTATCTGTCTGTGGTGGTAAATTTTAAAAATTAAAAATTTTAAATTTTAAAAGGTATTCTGCCCTGATGTTGACTTTTAATTCTTTGTCAACTCTAGGTTGGACAGAGAATTTTTAAGTCATGTCCAAGGTCAAGGCCGTGGGAATTAAAGTTTGGATGCTGATATATTAGAATTATTAGAATTGGTTTATGAAAAAAAGAAGGATTAAAAGTCTAATATTGGGCTCGGCGCCTATAGCTCAACCGGCTAGGGCGCCAGCCACGTACACCTAGGGTGGCGGGTTCGAATCCCCAGCCCGGA